TAGACTAGTAGACGGGGCCTTTCCTTGTTTTTATTTGAATTCAACATCTAGGAGTCGTTCTCCTAGTGTCGACTGCAAAACTGATCAGCTGGGGGTTTAACCCTTAAAAGTTTGATATATATTCGAAATTAGATGAAATTTTGAGGAGCAATAATGCTCGTAATGAAGATATCGAGATGGGACTCGAATCCACATTTAATAGGGAACGATATGCTAAGCCAGCTAGGTATTACCAAAGCAATGACCTAAAGTTAAGTAGAAAAATTAAAGAGCTAGAAAAGGAAATAGAAAATTTGAAAATTATAAATTTAAATTTGAAGAAGCATTCTATTATAGTAGAAGAATCAGCTAGCAAAGATGCTGTAACTTTTCCTAGACGGATTGTAAGTAAGAGGGCCTTCTACAGCGAGGAAGAAAAGACATTGGCTGAAAATATTAGCTATATGTCTTCAAAAGTTTATAGCTTTATGCATGAGGAGTTAGGGTTTTTTTTGCCACACAAGAGTTCGCTCTTGCGGTGGCGGCCAATTAGGAATGTAGAGCCAGGGTTTGATGCCAATGTCTTGTCCAATTTAGGGAACATAGTCCAGAATATGTCTGCAACAGAGCGGATATGTATGTTGCTTTGTGATGAGATTCAAATAAAGGCAGACTTAGTGTATAATAGCAGTAGGAATCTAATAGATGGATACGAATACTTTGGAGATGGCCTTAGGGAGAAATATATTGGAGCAAAGTGTTGTTTTTTTATGGTTAAGGGAATTTGCTCCAATTGGAAGTATATTTTTTTATATTTTATTTCTACTAATAGTGGACTAGGTTCAGATAGGCTCTTATCATTGCTAGATAAAAATATAACAAATTTAAAGAAAAGAGGACTTAATGTTAAGGCCCTTTCAACATTAGCGTATTCAAAAAGTTAAATATTTCGGAGAGTAAGCCATATTTCTCCCACCACGATACAAACATATACTGTTTGTTCGATTATTGTCACCTCATAAAATCCATCCGTAACGCTTTTCTTAAATATGATATACAGACTGTCGATGGCATAGCTAGTTTTAAAATTATAGAAAGATTATATTATATAACTAACCCACATTTGAAAATATGTCCAAAATTGACCGAGGTACATATTTTTCCAATTTTTTTTTTTAAAATTAGTGTTTCTCGCGCCACCCAGTTATTGAACAATTCTGTAGCAGCATGGATAGAAATGGCCACCTCTCAAAATTACTAGGTTCTGATAATATAGCGGCAAAGGCCAAATCAACCCAAATTTTCGTCAAAAAGTTTAATGACTTGTTTGACGACCTAAATTGCAAGCATCTACGCTCGAAAAATCCCCTTGAATATCAGGTTAGAGGGGGGGGATACTAGGAAAGTTCATCGTCTTAAGAAATATATAGATTTTTTACATTCAATTAAGGTGCCAAGTAATGTTAGGTGTGTCCAAGGTTTTTGCATTACGATTTCGGCAATGCAAAAACTTTGTTCTGATCTTTTCGATCTATACGAGCAGCTTAACTTCATATTTCTAGGTAAATTAATAAATCAAGATGCCGTGGAGAATTTTTTTTATAGAATTAGGGCAAGTCAGGAAATAAATATCCATTTCACAGCACACGACCTGCAATGTATCGTTGCACGTTTAATTTCCATGAAAATTTAACGCCAACGATTCGAAAATAAAAGTAGTAATTGCGAGGAAGATGACGATTTAAACTTAGATTGGAATTTAGGTCAGGAGGATCGTCATCTCGAGGAGCAGGTAGAAAAACCACCCCAGCAAGTCATAGTAGAAGAAATAGAAATTTCAGATGAGACTTTTTTTTTTTTGAAATAATCAATGATAAATCTGCTGAAGTACAAGTTCAATGCTATTTTGTAAGATATGGTATATACCAAAAAATTTTGCATAAGCTAAAATGTAGCAAATGTTTAGAGGTAACGGGAAAGGCACATAATGATTTGCAATTGCATTCAGAAGGCCTCATTAAATCGAAAAATTATAAAGCAGACAGCGACTTACGTCTAGTAAAGCCTGCTGATAGAGTTTTTGATGTCTGTCGACTACAAGTTAGGTATTATATTCAACTTTTTGAAAAGTATTCCCATTGTGCATTGGTATTAGGATTCTTATGCTAGACGCCATTAAATATAAAACGGAAGAACAGTTTCCACAATGGTTCTAGGAGGTTGATGGATGTAGGGAACATAGGGTAAAATTATTAGAATTTTTAATCACTGTACTTTTGTACAAAAATGCTAGGTGGCTAATAAGGGATCAAATGAACACTCTTCGGAATATGAAGCAAAAATCCAAACTGTAAAAATTCAATTAGTAGCAGGCTAGGCTACAAACATATGTACATAAGGCGGTAAAAAATGTTCCCCGAGGTATGTAAAACTTAGTATTACACCAAGAAATTCTAAAATAAAATAACTAGAACAAAATTTTTATACTTTATATGTATATTTGACTGCTTCTATAATATTTAAGAACGGGTCTTCCATGTTTTTTTTTTTTACAGATTTTCGCCACAGGTATTCAATAATCATATCGGCGAAATTAGCCGGATTATTGTGTTATCTTTTTGAAGAAACCGTTTGATAACTTTTCACTGTGACTCAATACGTTGAGTATGTGTGCCATCTTGGGCCACGAACGGGTTATCCGGGTCACTGTGGTTAACCTTATGGTGCTCCTACCCGTAGATGGAGAGACAATCATACGCTTATCAGCAATCGGTATGAATGATTCAGCTTCAGCTACGTGTTTTTGGATGAGTGGTACGAGCACCTCTGCACGTTGTCCGGGCACACCTCCAAACGTAGATCCTCTGAGCCGTCCTCAATCATTCCCAGAACCCACAGGTCTAAACAAATCGGTATCGTGCTGCTAAATTTACTGTTCGCCTATTAACTCATAATGCCCAGCAAGAATTACATTGCTTTCCAGCAAGCGTGAGCTTGAATTTTGACGAGGACTACAAAATCCTTAAATTCTAAAATTTCAGAATATTTGAAGTTTTTGTTCATGAAAGAAAATCAGAAGAAGATAAAAGCAACAAAAACAATTATGCTTGCAGACCCTCTTTCCTTCGACTCATCACCTATAAACAGTTTCCGGAAGGCGAAGTCAAATTTTGCCAAAGATCAAATATTTTAGTTGAGCAAAAACCCACACATTAAAAGCTCCATATAGTATACAAAATACAAATACACACAAAGTATTCTGCCTCCCCATTTCCCTCAATCCCTGCAACTTCTAGCCGTTTCACTTAGAAATTTTGTCAAAAGTCTGAAATTGATTTTATTAAAAAAAAAATCTAAACAAAAAAGATTTGGGCACGAGTTTCGAAGTTGACATACATATTCTTATGTATGTTAAGACAACTTTAACACGATTTAATCAGATTAAATCATTTTATTTTACCCGTTATTTTAATATAGATTCAATTTAAATAACTAGGCTCGGCTTTCCATTATGGTTCCAATGCTTGTTTCAGCCAAACTAATTGACAAATCCTAAAGAATTTTGCAGGAGTTGTTGCTGTTGATCTAATCTATGTTTATTTATTAAATAGTAATAGTTATATATTTTGTTATTATATAGGTCTTAACATTGTACTTAATTTTTTTTTAGGGAGAAGCGTCGAAGGCCATTCGGTTCTAGGAATGATTGAGGATGGCTCGGACGATCTACGTTTGAAGGTGTGCCCGGACAACGTGCGATCAGCAGAGGTGCTCGTACCACTCATCCAAAAACACGTAGCTGAAGCTGAATCATTCATACCGATTGCTGATAACCGTATGATTGTCTCTCCATCTACGGGTAGGAGCACCATAAGGTTAACCACAGTGGCCCGGATAACCCGTTTGTGGCACAGGATGGCACACATACTCAACGTATTGAGTCACAGTGGAAAGTTATCAAACGGTTTCTTCAAAAAGATAAATACAATAATCCGGCTAATTTCATATTTCCTTTTATCATATCGAATACCTGTGGCGAAAATCTGTAAAAAAAAAAACATGGAAGACCCGTTCGTAAAAATTATAGAAGCCGGCAAATGTACATATAAAGTATAAAAATTTTATTCTAGTTGTTTTATTTTAGAATTTGTTTTTTATATGTGGACCCACCGAAAGTCACAGTAATGACACAATGTACAAAATATTATGGTAGAATTCAATTTTTTTGCTATTTGCTCAGAAAAGATTGTGGGACGAAATAGCCCTAAATTTAAATTCATTTTACAAGCCGAATTAAACTGCCGCAAAATGGAAGGAGGTAAACATTACATTATATTTTGTTTATATTATCAAACAATAAAATTTTACATTGTAGTCTTTAAGCAACTGAAAGAAACAGTTCCGCGCTCGGGTGTGCAAGCTAAATGTAAACGCTTGCGCACTGGCGGAGGCTCGTTTTCAGGCGAAGAGTTATCAGAGTTCGAGGAACAAGCTCTTTCTGCATTTGGCATGGGCGCAGTCAATGGATTGGAGTGCGTAACGTTGGGTCTTCCTGTAAGTAAATAATTTGCCATTTGTTAAATATACACAAAACATTAAGTTTCTGCTTACTCAGGGCACATTCACAACTCCTGCGACTCCATCGCCACTAAGCGAAGAGAAAGCATACCTGATTGAGTAAGGCTGCAACTACCCAACGCGCGTACCAGCCGTCCATAGTAACCTATCTTATGAGAGCGCCATGTAAACACAAAGTTGTCACCGATTTCCCATAGCGCTGCTGACGTTTGTGTCGCAGAAACCAACGAAGTTTTGATTTTTTCCGTAAAACCGACTCAGCTGGTTGCCTTCTATTGTACAATGTTGCCAGTATAGACTTTTAGAAATAAATTATTAATAAAGTGTGTAAATGCAAATTTATTTCAGAATAAATGAAAACTGAAACCTAAGGTGATTATATATTTTCATATAGATGATGGATATTTCATTTTCACATATATTTCAACATGTAAATCAAGAAATTTGATGACGCAAGTTGTAAATTAATTCAAAAGTAAGTATGTGCACTGGTATCTAGCAACATTGTGCAAATGCAAACAAACAAAACCAAAATGCTAAGATTCATTTAGTTGAGAGTTGTTTACCTGTTTGTGAAAGTATTTATTAAAATGAATGACGAAATTTTGTTGAGTTATATTGAACAGCATCCAGAGCTATATTCTAAAAGTAATCCATATTACAAATACATTGAAATAAAACGCGGTTTATGGGAGCTCATTGGAAAGGAGATGAACATGAGTGGTAAGCACGAAATATACATAAGATCTTTAGAATGACTGTATTATAATTTTATAATAAACATTTTACAGGAGAATTGTGCTTAAGACGATGGTCAGCTTTACGCGATCGTTACAGTAGAGAACTTCGAAAATCGATTGCCCCACCAGGCAGCGGGGTATTTTTGTAGATGCATATATATGTATATAATCAATTTCTTTCATTTTCAGGTTTATATGCACATACGTATATTGGAAAAAAATATAGTTAGGAGTATATAACCATACATATGCACACATATACAATGCTAAAGTAAATAAACACATTAGTATATATAACTAGTATATAAGCATTCTCTTAAATAATAGAAATGAATTAATAAATCTTCATGTATATATTTAATAAAATTTTTAAAATGTTTTTGCTTGTAGACATTTGTTTTTAAAAATTTGTACTAGTTTAATGACACGAATACATGCATTGTACATCTACTTTTGCTAAGATAATACAGAAGATTGCAAATATGGTCCAGCTATGCTAACATCTATATGTTCTTGAAATGGCAACGATCCTTCATTCACGAAATATGTAGCAAGTTTGTCTCGCAAACTAAAAGCATTAGCAGGACCTCTACGTACTGCAGATCGCATGGCTGGTAAAGGACGGTCATTGCTTAGTTGCCTGCTTCTACTCGGTCAACATAATTTTCCGGGCAGTACCAACGGCTGTGATCATTCAAAATGACAAAGTTGTGTCAAGCTATAGACGCTAATACAAGTTTTTCGCAATTTTCCGGGCTGCATTCAATTGTTGTTCTTAAAACTCTCTATCGGGCCGTTAATATTCCAAAGCTGTTTTCAATAACTCTGCGTGCGTGTGATAGCCGATAATCAAATACACGCTTCGTTCTTGTTAGGCCCGTCCCGGAATAAGGGCGCATTAAATTAGGTCGCAACGGGAAAGCTGCATCACCAAACAAAGAAATGCCGAAAAGGTTCAGCTGATCTACTGGACAACGGTCTTGGAGGAGGCAAAGGCAAAGTATTTTGCATTAGCGCTTGACCAAATGGGGAAAGTTGAAAAGCTCTTATAAAAGATTCGTTTAGGTATAATAGATGGTTACAAAAATAATACACAGCTCTTACCTCCATCACTCTGGCTGCCATAGCTCCCAATACTGACAGCTGTAAAGGTATATTTTGCATCACTTGCCGCCATAAAAACAATGCTGTGGAATTTTTTGTAATTGAAAAACATTAAATTCGACTTAGCCGGACATTTGATAGCAACATGTTTGCCAACAACTGCACCTACATGTGGAATATTCTACATGTTGTAGAAGTCTTTGGTGATGTCCTCATACCGAGACTCTGTTGGCTCACTAACGTAGAATGGGGATAATAGTCTCCAAATGACTTCACATGCCTCCAAAATTATTTTTCGGACAGTTTCTTTGCCTACTTTGTAGCTCCATGAAATGCTCTGCATAGATACTCCCTGTGACAAAAACCTAATAATAATAGAACAATTCCACACATATACTATTATATTTGATAAACATAAGATACTTTACTCACAGTAGCACCAATGAGAGCCTTTCTCTTGGTCCAATCCGTTGTTTAGGTTTCCACAAGAATTTTCCTAACAATTTTAGAAGCAGATCGAAGATGTTCGGAGGCGCCCTTGTATGCAAAAATACTTACTCCGGCTCTTGGTTCTCATGACCTTAAATGTTTTGAATTTGGTATCCAGCGGAGCTCCAGTTTTTATTTATTGGACGAATTCCATATCGCCGCCGCCTTTTTTGGCTTTTATACTTTTTGTACAAATTGTACAACTCGCACAAACTGGGAAACAATTCATCGATGGCTTGGTTTTCCATATTTGCTTGCACACTTTTTAATAATTTAACGAAGGTAATTTTCTAAAATAACAGAACCGTTTTTCTTCACAAATACACAAGTGATGAAATAGAATAATTATAGCATAAAAAAAAGAAAATAGGATGTATGCCAACGCCAGCAAATATTTTTAGAACAACTGATTTTGCCGTTGCCAGCGACGTCAACAATTATGTGTATGTATCTCACTACTGACGTCGTCAGTTATGGACGTCTGGTAAGTAAAACGGGTAGCTGCAGCCGTCCATAAGTGGCGACGAAAATGCGAGATAAATACACTAGTTATCGACGCTGCTGAGAGCGGCGAAATGTTGCCAGCTTCCAGTATGTTTGCACACTTTTGAACAAATTCATAATTTTCGTCAACGAATTTCATAATTTATTTGCTTGAACACAAACACAAGGCAAATAAACATAATCTATATGGTAACAAATAATTGGTTACGCACTTATTTTTCATTTCTTTTGAACAAAACTACGCATTATCTTCGATTATTTAATTTTACTTTAAAAAAGGCTATACTGGCAACCTTGTATAGCAACGAAAAATGAGCCGAGCCGGTTTTACGGAAAAAATCAAATCGCTGTTGGTTTCTGCAGGACAGCCGTCACTAACGGCATGGGCAAGCGGTGACAACTTTGTGTTTACATGGCGCTCTCATAAGATATGTTACTATGGAGGGCTGGTACTCGCGTTGGGTAGTTGCAGCATAAGTACAAACAGAAAAATAAGCAAAAAAGTTATTTTGTTAGTACAAAAACAAAAATAAGTGCGTCGCGGCTAAACCCGCCGGATCGAAGGCTCTCAAATGCCTATTTTTCTTATTTCGAGCAAACAACGGCAAAAGAAAGCAACATGCAAGCCGAACACTCTCAGCAGTACTCAGCTAGCGCTAAGCAGACGGCGATGTCGACAGAAAAACAAGAGGAAAAGGTAAGAGCAAGCAAACACCCAACAGGAAATCGCCCGCCAATACGAATGAAAAGAAACAGGTAAGCGGTAAGCCCAATGAGATAAAAAAGAACACAATAATACAGACAGGACTAGATCGATATTTAAATATCAAAAGGAAATCAAGTCCTATTAAGAACACCAACAACAAAAAAGTGCAAGTAATATCCAGACTCGTCGATGTCAAATGATAAATACTCCTCAAATCCAATTTGTAGAAAAAGCCACCGGTAAAACTGCTCCAAACGTGCAAAATATGAATCAAAATAATCTATCTTATGCGAAGGTACTGAAGAATAGATCTGATAATATTACACAGAACCAATCTAATGGAGGTATAGAATAGATGATTTTAAACCTTACGCAGTGCATGACACAGTTCATGTCAACTATGCAAAGCATGATCCAAGGCTTGATTAAAGCCCAGAATAATATACTATAAATCTTCATGAAAAAAAGTGTGCTAAACATTTGTTTATGGAATGCCAACGGTGTGAACCAACATAAATTAGAATTGACACGATTTTTACAAGAGTATGCTATAGACCTAATGCTATTGTCTGAAACGCACTTGACGGATAAATACAACTTTTATATACCTGGGTTCATATTCTACCCCACTAACCATCCTAATGGCAAAGCGCACGGCGGCACTGGAATACTTCTAAGAAACCGCCTTAAACACTGCGTCTTACAGCCCTACGCCACCAATTATCTACAAGCTGCTTCTGTAATCTTGAATAATTATGGCAAAGAGCTAAGTTTCTCAGCCATTTGTTGATCTTGGTGATAGATTTATAGCAGGAGTAGACTACAATGCAAAGCATGTATACTGGGGATCCCGTCTAATAAGCCCCAAAGGCCGTCAGCTATACAATACCATTATAAACCAATGTAACAATTTGGATTGTGTTTCCCCAGGTCAACCAACATACTGGCCTACTGATCGGAATAAAATATCTGACTTAATTGACTTTGCTGTCTCAAGAAAAATCGGCAGTCAACTTGTATCAGCTGTGACAGTTGAAAGAAGATAGTGGCACGAGAAACAAGACTAACAAATAGAGAAACCAATAGCTAAAATACAAAAATATAGTTGTAGTCATATTAACATCAACCCAATATTGAATTGTGAAAAAAATATAGATGACTAATGAGCTCAATAATGTCCTTGTTTCTGCGGCAACCATAGCAACTCCAAACAGTATAAAGCCTACTACGTGCCCAAACGGGCGCACCGTGGTACGTTCCTAACGTAAACATTCATCAAGGCCCTGGTTTTTTACTGGTTAAGCATGAAATTGAATGAAGCAGGACGAAGTACCTCACAAAGCTAAGAAATCATCCAAATCCGCATGCTAATGCTTTATGTAACCCATCAAGAAATTCCCGCCTGCAGCGAAGAGGTGTTCCCCCCTTCTTAAGAGACCGCCGTAGTTTGAAACGGGCTCAGAGTTAAATAACTCGGGCTATCATGTTTGTAATTTAGTTTTTAAGATTTGTACACTTACTGTTAGGCTTATATTATATCAGATCCAGTAATAAATGAAAAAGATTTATAATAACCTTTTTATACGCCGGACATCTAAAACTACCAGTGGAATGGCCTGCAGGGGTATCCTTCTTGCATATTACGCATTAAGGTGTTACACGGCATAGCTTGGCAAAATGGCCTTTTTCTTCACCACGCAGCACATTCCACTGCGGTTTCTGCAGAATTGCACTTTCTGATCATGTCGCCGAATTCCAGGCAGCGATAGCATCTGATTGGGTTGGTAACTTCACTGACTTTACAATTCACCTATCCTATACGGATGCGACCAGCCTCCACCGAGATTTGTGCATCTTATAGAGGGAGATTTATAGTTGCAGTGTATGTGCCACTTTTTGTTTTCCTCAAGGCCCATGACTCATCTCAACTTGGAGAACTGATCTGTTAACGCATTACTGACATCCTCAGCCGTCGTAGCCATATCTATGTCACGAATCTCTAGGGCTAGACTGATACTTAACACAGTTACACTGGCGTCAGATTTAAGCAACTCGGTCGCTCGTTCATTTAATTTACTTGTAGTCTTATCGCGAAAGTGAACTAGAAGATTTCCACTCGCTGCTGTCGTAATCTTATTTACATTCTCACCAAGCTCTCTCATATCCGGCTGTTGTTTCATTTGCGTATAATGCAATATATGCATAATATGTCCGCATATGTAGTTTTACCCGTCCTTAAGCCAACAATAGCATCATGTTTTATTATTTTTCTTGAGATCTTACTCAGTTTTTTGCCTACTTTGCACCGATTTCCGATTACCGATATTGGTAGGGACTTCGTCTTCACTTTTCTTATTGGTTGCCCGTGTCTCTTCGGAAATCTTCGTAGTATTAGCAAGTCTCTTTGAAACTGACTCGCCCATACAGTCTCCCGTTTGTAAACCGACAGTCACCGTAGGGGGGGGCGCTTTTATCAGCTCTTTTTTCTTAGGGTATTGTTTATGATCCTATACT